CCCTGAATAGGTTATTCGTACCTCCAAACATTAGAAACTAGTACGAACGCGCATGCAAAGAAAAATGTAAGAGATACACGATTAACGATGACACTGTTGTTTGGGCAGAACGGAACTTCTCAAACTACGCTCACACCGTTGTTTGGGCCTTAAAGAGTTAAGGATTGTCTGCAAGAGGCTAGTAGTAGTAGTTAAGTAGTGTAGTAGTTGTAGCGGCTCTCCTCAGAACTTCTACCCCCGCATTATGGCGGCAACAAATATCCGTACGGGGCTCAGTTCTATTAAAAATACGCAAACTTCTGGCGACGAACGAATCGCGGCAAAACTAGGATTACCTGACAATTTCAAGAGACGCAACACTGCAGACGATAGTAGCAGACGATAATAGCGACCGTTGACACTTTCGAGCGTTTCTGCAGATGATACTAGCAGACGATACTAGCGACCATGGACAATTTCGAGACACGCAACATTACTGACGATAAAAGCCACATGGCGGGGAGTCCACGTGTGCGATGCAGATTAGCGTCGTTGTTGTCCTCAAACTTGTTTTTTTGATCAATTATAGTAATTATGGCTATCCTCTGAATAACGGGCACTAAAGATGACGGCCGCAAAATATCCTTTCGAGCCTCAGTCACGTGTCAATTGCGCACTTCTGGCGACTTAATTTGTGGTTTTCTGGCGACTACCGCCACCGCCACGAGTCCCCCATGCCGCGTGAGCGGCCTGGATTAGGGCTAAACTAGATGGCTAGGACCCACGAGCAGCAGCTTCCGCATCTCCAGGTCTTGTGAATAGTGAAAATATTTTCGTGTTGTAAAGCTCACAGTATAAGTACTTTCACAACCTGCCCTAAATATTCCTTTTCAACCTGATATGAAAAAAAAAAAAAAAGAAGTAGATAAGAGTTAAAAACCAACATAATAGTCCTTGGGACATTCCCATAAGTACTCTGTCCTTATCTTCAGCAGCAGTTGCATCCGATGGTAACAGTTAAATTGTATGTTCATCTCATTTTTTCATTTATATGTAATACACACACGCACACACACACACAAGCATGCACACACACACAAGCATGCACACACACACATACAAATATAGTCAGTTGCATGTCCTTTACAGACCGTTGCAGAACCAACCCCATCATTTTTGTATGTTTGTGATTTCAGTAGGCAGTTTGTCATTTATTAGTTTGCCATTTCTTTTGAACGGTCAGCTCTTATGACCACTGTTAAAACCAGTCCTTGTCAGTTTACTGCCAAATTGCCTGCAGCTGGGAGTGAACCTGGCATCTCTAAATTACAGAGTGAAAAATATTAGGTAAAACAGAAATATAAATAAAGCTTGGCCTAGCTGCATCAAGAAGACTGGTCAGTTATTTAAGCAAGTTTAACTCAGGATCCTCATAAGTTGACCTTAGTACTGACAGTGCAATACAGTAAAAGTTACATTTCAGTTTTACATTATTCTCAGATGTCTCAGTGCCCAGAGGTTGTAGGCAGACGTTTGATCACCGGGCTGTCAGGCAAGCTGGATGATCACTACACTTCCCTGTCTCCCTGTTGGTTCAGACTGTTTCACTGAAGGCCAGCCACAGAACCAACAACTTTCATTCAGAGGGTCACAGAGATAAAGGGAGATGGGTGATATCGCAGCAGTAAACCCCAAGGGCTTGGAATGCTAAAGAAAAGAGAATTATTTCACTGTACATTTTGCCATGGAGGTCTCAAACTAATGCCCTGATCTTGTTGTTTCCATACTGCAAGACTGCCCAGTTGTATCCATTTTGGTGAACCTCAAAATCAGCTAAAGTGTGTGTGATAAATTGCTTGAAAGGCACATTCCCTGTCATTCACATGCCAGGGATCTAACAGATAACATATTGTTGGAGAATTTTGCCGTTATCTTCTGACTGGGGTTGTCTCCTTTCTAGAATGCTCACTCTTGTATATTCTGAAGTGTGCTCAGTTAATCTGTTTCTCAGTGTTGTTCCATTCAGCCAACGTTGAACCCGCATTTAAATTGGTATATACAATTGGGCTTGGTGTAGACACTAATGGATCAGATATTGGTGTGGTCTTAATATCTAACCATGAGAATATGACCATAGATTGTTTGGCTAAACGTTTTTTTTTAAAAATTGGTTTTGCGGCACATTATCACCTCAGAATTGTAACTGAATAAATATCTAAAGGTTTGGGATCACGTGTTGTAAAATTAAAATTGTCTTTCACTTTCAGACGGAAAACAGAGGAAGAGAAAAAATGATCAAGAGTGAGTATTTGCTTATCATATATTTTTTGGGTCTGTCTGTAATTAAATTAATTTTACTAGTTGTTAATTGAATTCTGTTGTTAATTGTTCTTATTATATAAAGAAGAAGTATCATATAGCAGGTCTGTTGCTGTACATTGCTGTTATCATGGTCTGCCTGAAAGAAACTCGGCCTCTTGCCAGATCTCTCATCTCATGCACTTTTTTAACCCAAGGTGCCACTTACATCTTCTGCCTATCTTCGTGCTGATCAACTTCTACCCTGGTTCCTGGGGGGAAAAAAGATGTACATTTAAATTAACACCTACATTCCCATCTCTCCAGAACTTCCATATTTAGTTGTTTTGAGATAGGTAATTTTCTTCTGTGTATCCACATCTCCAGGACATAATTTAAACTTTTGAATTCTTCCTTCATGGTCTAGTTTTTTGGTACCATATAGCAGTGGACAAATGACCAGACCTTTAGTTATAGCTCAAAGAATATGAAAAAAACATTAATTTGGTAAAGCTCACAAATTCTATATTTCATGTTTTTAATCACATTTCAGAATAAACATAATGCCAGGTCTGTGTTATTGAATAGAACAAACACCAAGACAATTCAAAGTTGCAGATTCCTTCTTTACACTGTTTAGTGGTAAATTAAAAAAGAGAGGCATATAATCACATGCCAACTGGGACTCTGGTGTACTCATGTAAAAACATATCCTGCTTTTCTTCATTACTGAAAGAGTTAAAACTCATTTAACTACCACACACTACACATGTCATCAACACACTCAAGCATATATCACAAACACTGATACCACTAGCGTGATGATGAACACATATACCACAGACACATACACACAAACACATGCATGCAAACACAGATATACACACAAATATATTTGTATTGTTTTGTGTGTGTTTAGGTCAGATGATGAGGACAGTCAAGGAGGATCCTTTGGAAATGGGCCTGAAGGAGCAGATAAGGAGCGGTTTGCCAGGTTTCATATTCGTTTTATTTTGCTATGGAAAGGTATAGGTGAGACTTTTCCTCTCAGCCCCTCATCCCCTGTTGGAGCTTAGGTCCACAGTCAGCTGACCCAAAGCCTTTCTTTGTGAAACTGCCATTCATAGTTTTTCAGGTGAAAGCACAAAGAACTTTCTAGGGGACCAGAAAAAGGTTCAGGACTGTTTGACCTTCTCTGTATTGCGTCATAGTTCTAGACGAAAAGTCTCCTGTCATCTTGGTTGCTCAGTTATTCTTGGTGGTACTTTTTTGTGGGGCTTTTACTGTGTAGTTTATTTTTTGAATTTGGTAGCCAAACTATGCAGCTCTGTGGCTTAGAGGTCAGCAATTACAGTTAACAGTTTCATAATGCTCGATTACTGGGGTTCATTTTCCATGGTGGAAGAATATCTGTTCTTGTATTTGGACTATCGTTGGGTCTCACCAGGTAACATTCCCAAAGACAGTAGTGGTACACTGTAGCCAATCTTTATTTTGGAGACGGCACATAATTTTAAAAAATCTATTAGTGGACCCGAAGACCAAGCTTTTAAAATTTAATCTTACATAATGATTGTCCAAGTGACAAGTTCTTGCTTTCCCTGAGGGTCCCAGTAAAATATCAGCGGCATTAGACTTTATCTGGAATGTATTATTTTTTTCCAGCTGTGGTAAGGAACACACTAAACAACAAGTATTAAGGAGATCCAAAAACATCTTCAGTGAAGCAAAGCAACAACTAGCTACCAGTACATTGAAATCTGGACTTATAACATCTGAACCAAAAGGAAAATATAGGCTCTGGAAATAAGATCTTTTCTTATGATCTTAGTTATATCACTCAGAGACCACATACATCATTAAAGATGAAGTTCCTGGTATCATAACTGGGCACATCGGCAACTATGAATCTTCTTTATAAACAGTATGACAGAAAATGTAATGGTATTGACATATAATAATGTCCCCCCCCCCCCCCCCCCCCCCCCCCCCCCCCACGGAATGATAGAACAAGGCTAGTTCAAGGAAAGGCAGGCCAAAAAGAAAATCTGGTCACTGAAATCAAGGCAACTAATTAGGGCTGTTTTCTCCAAAGTTGGAGCACATCTGCCTGAAGCAAGAAACCAGCATTCTACATGTAAATAAGCCAGATATGTGAAACATGCGTGCATGCCAAACTCAAGTTTCAGAACAAGACCAGAATCCAGAAGTGGATGAACAACCATGACTTTCCACCAGTTTACATACAGTGAACACTAAAAAGAACTGATAATCATGGGACCAATAGGTAAGTGAGCTCACCTCTACAGCTCCCCTAGATGTGCAATGGACCAATATATCTGAATGCAGAAAAGGCAAGCAGAAGTTTAGAAAGAAAAAATTTGGATAAATTAACGGCACAGTGTTGACCACATCACCCACCAAATGTCTATTGATCTGTAAAATCTGGGTCTAGCCCTATATGCCCAATAAGCCAGAAGGAGTGGAAAAGTGTCCTTTTTTTACTTTTCTCTAAATTAAAAGATCAAGTAACCGGGAAGGCTAACCTGGTCAACAAATGTCCGCAAAAGTCTAATGTCTTGGCCAAAAGGCGCAAATATCACAGCCATGCTGTAAACTGGCACAAATCAGTTACATCGTTGGGCACAGAAGAAAAGATAAAGTAGAAGAAGGTTTTCTGATTGACGTCTGCAGTGAAAGTCTTGAGTTGTTGGCCTGTTATAATGTGCTTCTTGTTTTGTAGGGAGAGCCATTGTGAGATTGAGAGGCGGAGAAGGAACAAGATGACAGCCTATATAAATGAACTTTGTGATATGGTACCCACATGCAGCACCCTGGCACGCAAGCCTGACAAGCTGACAATTCTACGCATGGCTGTGTCACATATGAAAACATTACGGGGTAGGTTACACATTTTCTAAGGCTACCTCTAGTGTCACAGAAAATGGTGATAATGTGAATCTCATTGTTGCAGTGCCTTGAAGCATAGATTATTTGAATCTCATTGTTGCAGCGCTTTAAAGTATCAATCATTTGAATCTCATTTTTGTAGCCCCTTGGAGCATCGATCATTTGAATCTCATTGTTGCAGCCCTCTGGAGCATCGATCATTTGAATCTCATTGTTGCAGCCCCTTGGAGCATAGATCATTTGAATCTCATTATTGCAGTGCCTTGGAGCATATATAATTTGAATCTTTAAAGTGTAGATCATTTGAATCTCATTGTTGCAGCCTTTTGAAGCATAAATCATTTGATTCTCACTGTTGCAGTGCCTTTAAGCCTAGATTATTTGATTCTTACCGTTGCAGTGCCTTAAATTATAAATTATTTAAATCCCATTGTTGCAGTGCCTTGAAGCATTGTTCATTTCTTCTTCTCCTTCATATCCAACAGCTGTAAACTCAGAAATCTCTGGTTGATCGTCCACTTCTAGACTTAAGTCTTCTTCCAGAACTTGAGTGTATCTGGTTTTTATGTGTGCAGACTGTTTGTTGCATCTCAGGCAGAAGCAGATCAACTTTGAAGGAAACCCTCTGTGGTTTGACTCCTACGACCTGCTTTTTGGGGAGGCAGAGGGTATATTCTTTTTTCCCCCCGTGATGGTACCCTGAAAACCACAGGGGAATAGATAATTTTCATCTCACTGTTGCAGCAGGGGGGTGTGAGTCCCACATTTGTATAGACAATTTGGCATTTAAAGGACGATGTGGTCAATATCCTGCCTATCCGCCTTTGCTTCACATTATTGGTTGGTGTCCTAGAAGCATGACATTGTTTTGTTTTTTTATATAGCCTGGGCAAAAATTTGGAGTTAAAAATCTACCCAAAGTATTTCAGGATCCTCATCGGTGCTACAGAGCCTGTGCACTGTGCTGAGATTCTTCGGACACAGACTTGAGTTAGAAGAAGAACGGAGCACTTATGGGTTATACCCGTGTGCCATGATGTTGATCCGTTGGTCAAACCTAGAAGCATGACCCCCGCCTGGGACCTGGCCAGCTTACATGAGATCTGAATTTTCTTTGAAGTCAGAGTACATTCAGCAAGGAGCCAAGTTTACACACTTTCTCAGCACTTTATTTGTTGGTGAATGCCACTGTTGTTGTGCAGTAACCACTAGCTAGGTTAAGATATCTTTAATGTATAGTTACAGGAATGTTGAATGTGAATTCTTCCCAGATATTAGGGCATCATATAATTTAATTATTGATCTAAGAGGTTATAACTGTTTCATAATTTCAATATACAAGGCTTGATTCAGCTGTAGACAGGTAGGCAGCAGACAACTTTGCACTGATTTTGACAAATGTGTGAGCAGTGAACCTTTAAGAAGCCTGTGGCATACTACTGGCTTTCGTCGTCTGGTAGAAGTATAGGCAACTAATTTAACCTTTGAGAGATTTGGGTATTCCGCACAGCTTTTTTGGAAAAGTTTCTGTCACAGCTCAGGATTTAACTGGACTGTTTTTGAATAAGCTAGCTCACTGACCATTAGCTATTGGTTTTCCAACTAATCACTGATCTAAAGGATTAAACCCATGCTGTATCTGGTTCTGTGTGATTTCCAGGTACAGGCAACACAAGCAGTGATGGTTCCTACAGACCTTCTTTCCTCACAGACCAGGAGCTGAAGCATCTAATTTTAGAGGTGAGTTGTGTAGTTTTCTAGTAGGTTGAGTCTGTTTATAGCCGACTATCTGTTTCTGGTGAGTTGTGTAGGTTTTTCTAGTAGACTGGGTCTGTTTATAGCCAACTGTATCTGTTTCGTGTGAGTTGTGTAGTTTTCTAGTAGTTTGGGTTCATTTATAGCCGACTGTTTCTGTTTCTGGTGAGTTGTATAGTTTTGTAGTAGGTTTGATCTGTTTATAGCCAACTGTATCTGTTTCTGGTGAGTTGTTTAGGTTTCTAGTAGGTTGGGTCTGTTTATAGCCGACTCTATCTGTTTCTAGTGAGTTGTTTAGGTTTCTAGTGAATTTAATTCTCCCACATATACAGAAAAATCTGGACTTGTGCAGGCAAATGTCATGAAAAGAAGACTATATGTGTGACAGTTTAATGACATTCCGGTAGCTTCATGAGAAACACATTGACATTTATGAGTTGACTTATGCAATAATCCAAGTTGGGATTTTGTGTATTGTTGTGTGTATTTGTGGATATTTATTAAATGTGCTGATGAAGGCTTTCAGCCACAGCGTTCACTTGTCATTTGTGTTATTAAAAATGTGAAGCTGAGTGGCTCTACATTTTGTTTGGTTTGATAACTTTTGATAACTATGAAGTGTTAAAGAGAATGCCAGATTAGTCAGGTTTGGCACTATGCCTCCTCCCACATAAGCCATATCTAGAAAAATACCCCTTACAATAGTAATACATGGAAGACTTAGAGTGAGTTGAAAGAGATGGCAAAAGATAGGACAACTTTGCCTGAGTTTCTTTCGAGACTGGACTCCAGGGAGGGATTAAAAAAATAGAAGAGTATATAATCAGAGAGGTTAAACGAGATGAAAACATAATGTAAGTCTCTTAAAAGATATTTATTTACAATGGAGAACCGATTGCATCAAAAGAAAACATTCCATCATCTTTGAGTTTGTTATAAGAAGGAGCGGAAGGGGGGAGGGGGGAACTGGAGTATGTTATGACAACTGAAAAGATGGACGGAAAGAAGGGCAGGTAGAAACGAGAGAGTTTAAATCATAGCATGGAGCAACATCTACATCAGAGAGGATTGGCAGTACCTAAGACAGAAGGCTACTGAGTGACAATATGACTAACACCACATGGTATGGACAATAAGAAGAAGAAGAACCATTAATACACCACGCAGTCTTCTTCTTCTTTTTCTCCTCCTCCTCCTCCTCCTTCTCTAGCCGTGTTCTGAATTTCAGTGTCAAGTTTTGAAGAAGCATCGGGTGTGAGCCTTAGTGTGTGTGCTTTTTAGATGCTAGTATTTACGGTTTCAGATTTTCCATCTATCCTTCACTTACGTGGTTGATCTCAGTCTGCTTCCATTATGTTCAAGTGACAACACTGTCTCTGGTGCACTGTCTGGTGATAGTTTTGACATATGTCCACACCATTTGATCTGTTGTCTCTTGATGTTGTTTAAGGCTGGCTTCATTCCAACTTTCCTGAAATGGTCATTTTTGATCCTGTTTCTCCTAGTTACACTTAGGATCGATCATAGACTTTTTCTGTTGTTTTTAGTATCCACTTTTGGCACTGGTAACACAATGTTGGTAGTAAAAATATTGTAAGGAATAGTGCTCTTTTGGTGTCAGTTGTTACATGTTTGTGCTGCAAAATTGGTGAGATCTGTTCAATGATCTGATTTGCTTTATTGTATTTATGTTCTATCTCTGAATCAGTTTTTTCATTGGATGATATGACATCACACAGTACTTAGTATTAAGTTTAAAACAGAATGGCGTGCACATGTTCATCATCCATTGAATGATTGACTAGTGAAGTTAGTGACAGAGTGCCATGTGACGGAAGTCGTTCATCGAAATTTACTGATCTTGTTTCAGGCAGCTGATGGATTCTTGTTTGTGGTTCAGTGTGATACTGGAAGAATTATCTATGTATCCGACTCAATCACCCCAGTTTTGAACCAGAGCCAGGTAAAATGATCGGGGGAGGGGGGGGGGGGAGAGATTATACAGTGTATCTGTTAATAGAGAGTGTGGTGTTTGTAAATAGGGTTTTTTCTTTTGTCCTACTGCTTATTTTGTAAAGCATCACAGAGACGACTTGAATATTCATGTATTTGTTGTGTATTTTGTCCTTTGATCTTTATACTGTCTTTTCATGAAATGCACAATGAAACTTTTTGTTTTTTTTTGGGGGGGGGGGGGGGGGGGGGGAGGGGGGGGGGTGAGGGGCCCTAAACCACAGATGTTTAATGTGGCTGTTTTAGGACAATGTGGCTTCACTTATTTAAAAAAAATGTTGGTCTTAAAACTACAATGATAGCCAGACTTGGCACAGTCCTTAGAAGGTATAAAAAAATAAGAAAGGCAGGGACAAATCAATCAGTGAGGTGCTAACTCCACAATCAGTGCTAACTGCAAGGGGTCTCTAACACTCTCTGTCTCTGGTCTTGGTTGCACACACTCTTTGACTGCTGTTTGTTCATATCTTAATGTAGTCCTCCCACTTGTATTGCTGTTGACTTCTTGCTTTTTTGCCATAGACTCATAAAAACAAAAATAGAATGATTAACCGGAAAGGAAAAGAACAGATCTCAATGTTTCCAGTGTGTCCCATAAAAGTAGACCCACTGTCCCATAAGAAGCATGTTGAAAAGCTGACTGATGAGGGAGGTTTCCTTTGAAGTCAAAGTGCACCTGCCTCATAGGTGTGGAACCAAAAGTATGCATACAATACTCTAAAATGGACGTGCAAACTAAACTCAAATCCTGGAAGGCTAAGGTCCAGAAATGGATGAACAACCAGAACTTTCCACCTGAGTGTCCCAGTGAACACAAAGAAGGAGAAGAAGAAACCTCAATGCAAAATATCAGCAGACACGGAACATCATAAACAACTTGCTGACTAGCATGGACAGTAAAAAAAAAAAAAAAAAGGTGAAGTCGAGAGATGTGAACCAGTGTCATTGCACACGGTTATAAACCATAAGTGCTCTGCCATCAGTATGGACAGCTGATAAGAAACTGTCCGCCTGTATCACCGTCTGCACCCAATTCTCTAGCTACAGCGACGTTCCTCCATTTAGTGTTAACTCTGGTACCCATTATCTAGAGGCTGGGTGAACCCCGGGAACCGCCCGGTTTCGAACACCGACCATGGTTGCAGTGCGTTGCAGCTGGATTTGAAAGCGAGTCTCCTATTGACTGCTAACACCGGCCCCCCTAAGGGACAGTCATGCTCCTCTACACTTTGAGATTGCTATAGCATTTATTATTTTATGCTTTGACACCTTTCCTTGTCTAGTTAACATGCTGTCAAGAATCTTCTTTCAGGATTTCTTTTTTCTCTCCTTCCATGCAGTTTCCCAGTTGTCACATTTGTTGTGACAGTTTTTTCTTCTTATAATGTGGCCCAAGAATTTTATCAGTTTTTACATTGCAGATTCGAACTTCAGAACTTTGGGCTGGCAGGTGATGTCTAGCCACTGTGCTATTATTAAGGTTTTCCTACACTGTAACACTAAACTAATTAATGTTTTAGACTTATCTGATATTGATCTTATTTCTTCATTTTGTCTCTGAGCCTACCCTCTGTCAGAGATTGAAAGAAAAAATAAATGAATGAAAAAACTTTATTTTTAGAGGGTAAAGAATTTGGAACAAACTTTATTTTCAGAGGCTTAGTAATTAGGCACGCAAGCCCATCTAACCTTCTGCCCTTCTAATCTCTGTACTTTTATACATCATTTCATTCAAACATAGAGACGAGAGATAGAGGAGATTGATTTTCTCAGATGGTTATGATAAGTTTTCTTTGTACTTTAGTCACATTTAAAACATTTTGACTCATGAGTGTTCAAGCTGTTTGCATCAGTCTTCTTTGGAGACGTACAAAGATCTTGAAACAAATGTTGTTGGCATGTGACTACTTTAACAAGTTTTATGATGTCCTACATTTTGAAATAAGTTTTTGATTTTGTATTCAAACAGGCAGATCTGTTTGGCACAACTTTAAATGACCTATTTTCACAGATATGATGATATTTCAAATTTTGAAGTCAGTGTTTGATTCTGTATTCAACCAGGCAGATCTGTTTAGCACAACTTTATATGACCTCACCCACCCTGATGATGTTGAGAAAGTCAGAGAACAACTCTCCACCTCAGAATCACAGAACACTGGCAGGATCTTGGATCTCAAAAGTATGTGTTCATATATACAATCAGACTGTTACTGGTACGATTGGTATTTTAACTCTTCGCTAGCTGCTGAAGATGGGGACGGAGCGCTTTTGGGAGTGTCCCGAGTGCTGTTATGTCGATTCTTAATTCAACATTCCACATTTAAAAGTATGTGCTTGAGTGGGTCATAGAGTTGTAACTTATGCAGGCACATTTTTATATTGTGAAAATCATGGTTTGTGATTATGCTGGAAAATAAATGTTTCAACACTCAGGACAATTCTTCAAGTGCTCAGTCTCCCATCAAAAAGAGGGATAGATACAGTTATTAAAATGAAAAAAACTTTATTTTCAAAGGGTTACAAATTGGGCATGCAGGCCCATCTTACACTCAGCACTTTCAAGCACTCATCTTTCAGACCAACTATTGTTGTAGTTAGTATATATTGAGGCTTGATGTTTTGATTGTGATAAAGAAAGGTATATTAGCTTTTTTCTTGAAAAGTTTAAACTTAAGTTATATAGTTATATTTGTTCACACTTTTCATATTATTATTTTTTTCAGCTGGAACTGTCAAAAAGGAGGGTCATCAATGTAAGTTGTAATGTTCATTGTAGTGTTTACTGAAGCAAGCTTTGTAATATTTTGTTTACAGTGATGTTTCTTAGCAATGTTTAATTGTAACTGACTCACAAAGCATGTTGAGAAAGGTGGAGACGGGCATACTCAGTGCAGAATGGCAAGCATCACTTCAAAGGTCCCGGGTAGTAAGCATCCTTTGGATATTTTTTCCAGCTATGCCGGTGTGTTGGGAAATGAGCAGGCAGATAGACTAGCTGGTTCTGCACCACTTGGTGGTGAACTGATGTATAACAAGCTGGATATTGTGAGCGATTGAACAGTGTGGAGGCACAAATAGATCATTCCGGTCTGAGGAAAATGACGCTGCGGGGAGTTGCAATGGGATCTGGCCAACGCTTGACACTCAGGGGAAAGGCGAGAAGGATACACAATCAGACAGCTACTGATACCATCGGAATTTTAACTCTCCGCTTGCTGCTGAAGATGGGGACGGATCACTTATGGGGGTGTCCTGAGTGCTTTGATGTCAATTCTTAATTCAACATAGCAGTGTTTAATGTAGTGTTCACTGGCGTGATTATTGTACTGTTTATTGTAATGAATTTTTTGTGTAGCAAAAAGTGGATGTTAATCACAGGCTATTACACAGTCACAATAGAAGAGCAGCTACACTTCTTTTTCTTCTTCTTCTCCTATCTAAAAGCCTATTCTGCCTTTCAACATTAGGTTTTGAAGAGGTATCTGGTGTGAGCATTGATATGTGCTGCAGTGAGGCTGGTGTTCTTAGCCTCAGATATTCCATCTATCCATCGCTAAAACTGAATTTTTTTTCTTGTAGAATATAATTTATATAGAAAAGATAAAATGCTGACATTGTACAAAATCTAATTATCGAAAAAACCGGATTTTTAAAGAGAAGGGAAACTTTGAGGCCATAGAAAAAAATATAAATATAATTAAAAAAAAAAAATACACATGCCAGATGCCCTACTATAAATGTGTTAAATAGTTGAACTTGGCTCCCAGGTTGACCCAGGCTAAAATTGGTACCAGGTAAAGTCCTGGAAAGTAAAGGCGGCCAAAAAGGATATCTCTCTCCCTCCCCTCTTGGTTTATGTTTAATTGCTGTTGACAAATGAATAATAAGATATATTGTTATATTAATTCTCTAACGAAATTTTATCATGTTAATTTGCAGCTTCTATTCGCCTCTGCATGGGCTCTCGACGTGGCTTTATATGTCGACTGCGTATGGGTAATATTCAGCCTGATCCAATGATTGCTAACCATACAGTTCGCATGCGACAGAGAAACACACTTGGTCCTGCTTCCGACGGGAAGCATTATGCTGTTGTACATGTGACAGGATACGTAAAAAACTGGCCACCATCTGGTTAGTGGATTTTTTGTGCTATATATTGTGTTACCACCTCCCTGTGTGGATCCTGGGACCCCCACTTGGTGGGGGTCTGGAAGAGTAGACCCATTATGTTGTAAAAGTTGAATTATTGTTTTTTTCCTCCTAAAATCAGAGTGCATCTGCCTGAGAGGCCAGGAACAAATAAGCCAGATCTGTAAAATGGATGTGCATGCAAAACTCAAGTTCTGGAACAAGAATAAAGTCCAGAAGTAGACAAACAGCCAGAACTTTCCATCGGAGTTAACCGTCAGTGAAGGCAGAGAAGAAGAAGAATTGTTGTCACCCTCTGGTTCATGGATATTATACTTCTTCTTCCTCTGCGTTCATCCGAAAATGTAATTGCATTGTGTCCGTTTACAGCATAGCTGCGATATTTGCACCTGTCGGCCAACACATCCGACTTCTGCGGGCATTTGTTGACCGGGTTAGCCTTCTTGGTGGATATTAAAAAATATATGTTATATTACCAGCCTCTGGTTAGTGAATATTATGCAGTATGTGTTATAACACTATTTGTTTTTGTACTGGAGCCACTTGGATGAGGGCTGTCCGCAGCATATATTGAAGGAGGTAAAGAAGATGGTACTATAGGAGAAACTACAAGAATACTTGGTAATGTAGATAGCCAGATATAGTTTACACGCATGTCGTAACTGTAACTGACTCACAGATTATGTTGAGAAAGGTAGAGACAGGAATGCTTCGTGGAGAGTGGCAAGCATCGTTTCAGAGGTCCTGGGTAGTTAGCATCCTTTGGATATTTTCTCCAGATATGCCGGTGTGTTGGGAAATGAGCATGCAGATAGACTGGTCGGTTTTGCACAAGTAGGTGGTGAATTGATGTATGACAAGTTAGATGTTATGAAGGCCCTTTGGAAGCGAGTGAACAGTGAGGAAGCGCAAATAGATCATTACAGTCTAAGGAGAATGGTGCTGTGAGGAGTTACGAGGAAATCTGGCCGACGCTATACAATCTGATATACAATCAGACAGTTACTGGTACCATCAGAATTAAAACTCTTCACTTGCTGCTGAAGATGGGGACGGAGCGCTAATGTGAGTGTCCCAAGTGCTTAATGTCGATTCTTAATTCAACATAGTTGGAGAAAATTAACTAGAGACAGTAAAAATACTGACTCACTTAAAGAAAAAAGTTAGTTACATACCCTTTTCAAAATGTTGCAGAACCAGCTCCAGCATGTTTTGGATTTTGTGGGTTTTTTTCTAGGCAAATTTATGTCTAGTAGTTTGCCATTGCTTTCTGGGCGGTCGGCTTCTCGATGCCACTGTCAAAACCAATGTAAGGTGCAAAGCCTGCAGCTGGGATCGAACCCAGCACCATGGCATTAAGAAGTGCGTTCTCAACTACTAAGCCAGAGAAGCAGACTCTTCAAGAAAGCTGCTAAATAATGGGACTAACTATCATGACTAATCAAAAGAACAGACACAAGTACTTGGGTAAAAACTTCAGCGCTCCAGCTTACTAAGAGAAGAAATTAAATCTGTAATACAATCTGGAATTAAGGTACACTGTATATACTACAGTATACTATAACATCTGCTAAAATCAAATACTTTGTCTCGTAATACCAAGATCACCATATATAAAATGCAATGCTTGGTACATATAAAGAGAATGGCAAATAACTGAAAAACAGAATCTATTTACACAGAAGAGTTTGAAAGGGAGTATACCACGAAATGGATGAAGAAGATGGTGGTAAGATAATATGCAGGCAGACCTGGGAACATTTGGAGTCACCAACTGGAAAGAAAGGACCAGCCGCAAAGATCAGTGTAGTGATATTAGCAGAAGTAAACCTCACAAACTCAGAAGGCTAAAGGAAAGAATGATACATTATGAGTCATTAGTCAAGTTGTAGCACATCACAGCACAAAAAAAAAAAGTTTTTCCTTCTTTGTTTTTTCTTCTTCTCCTCCCTTTTGTCTTCCATCTTGTCTTCCTGTTCGTATTTTCCCTTTTCTTCTCCTTCTCATTATTTTATTTCTAATGTAACAAAAGCGTGTGAATAATTCAATTGTGATTGTTGTATGCAGCTGGCATACAGCTGGATCGCAGTGATTCCGATGAACATGGGTCCAGCCATTGCTGTCTTGTTGCCATAGGCCGCCTGCAGGTCACCAATACCCCCAACTGCAGTGACATCATGGGCCCCAACCCCCCGAATGAATTCATCTCGCGGCACAGCATTGATGGGAAATTTACCTTTGTTGATCAAAGGTAAGGCTCTGCTTTCTACAACCCAAATTGTTATTAATGTGTTTCTTATTTATGTTGTATTTTTGTTTGTATTTCAGTTTTATAGTTGCACATTTCCATTATTCATTCTTATTTTTCAAGATGGTGGCTGTTGTCAAAGTTTTTCATCACCATGCTGTTCTGCTGTTTCTGTGCCACATAGGATTTGCAGGTTGATTCCTCCATTCCAGTCACAACAGCTTTCTTGAGAACAGGAACTACAAACTTTAACATGTTCTATAAATTGAATATAATGCAATTAACTTGAACGTATATTGTAAATATAAACTAGAACACTGACACGTACTTGTGATTGTAACCAATTAACAAAGCATATGAAGACAAGTGGAGACAGGCATGCTCCATGCAGATTGATATGCAGGAGTGTTGGGAAATTAGCAGGCAGACAGATTCGCTGGTTCGGAATCAGTTGTTGATGAGTTCATGTACAACTATCAATCTGTAGTCAAGGCTCTTTGGGAGCAGGTGAAAATGTTGAGGCACAGATAAATCAGTATGGTCTGGAGAGAATGGTTTCAGCTAGAAGTCACCAGGGGATCCAGTTGACAGTGACCAGGGGATCCAGTCGACAGTGACCAGGGGATCCAGTTGACACTGACCAGGGAATCCAGTTGACAGTGACCAGGGGATCCAGTCGACAGTGACCAGGGGATCCAGTCGGCAGTGACCAGGGGATCCAGTCGACAGTGACCAGGGGATCCAGTCGACAGTGACCAGGGGATCCAGTTGACAGTGACCAGGGGATCCAGTTGACAGTGACCAGGGGATCCAGTTGACAGTGACCAGGGGATCCAGTTGACAGTGACCAGGGGATCCAGTTGACAGTGACCAGGGGATCCAGTTGACACTGACCAGGGGATCCAGTTGACAGTGACCAGGGGATCCAGTTGACACTTTACACTCAGGCAAGATGGACATAATCAGACTGAAGCTCGAACCATCGGAATCAGAACTCTTCGCTGGCTGCTGAAGATGAGGACAAAGTGCTTGTGAGAATATCTCAAGTGCTGTGATTTCAGTTCTTAGCCCAGCGCTCCTCCATCCTGGTAAATCCTGTGCTTTCTTTCCAATATTTTATATAAAATCTGGCCAGGTGGTACCTTTGACCGTTTTTTTTTTTTGCAGTCAAGAAGTGTGGATGTCTTTACTGCCTTAAAAGACATAATAGAAAACGGGTATCAGAATTTTAAGGATGAGAAAATGTGTGGAGGGGTGTTTAAAGACTTCAAGAAAGCTTTTGACATGATAGACCATAATATTCTTAGAAGAAAATTAGAAACAATGAAATTTAACTCTAGGTTATTGAAGTTAATAAAATCCTTTTTGTTGAATAGAAAACAAATAATCTCCTACAGTAAATCCTTCTCTTTACAGTAAATACTGGGGTACCTCAAGGCTCGATTCTCAGCCCTCTGTTATTCAATTTTCACATAAATGATCTTTCCTTATGTCTGTCATTGTACTGTGATTTATTCACAGACGACTATACCATCTATGCAAATGCTCAAACATGTAATGTAGTACAGTCGTTATTACAACAAGAAAAAAACAATGTAGTAAAGTGGAGCAGTGTAAACTGTATGCAAATAAACATTAATAAAACAAAATCTATGTTAATAACGACCAGACAAAAACTAGATAGTTTACATTCACAGAGAGTGCTTCAGCTCTACATTGGAAGTGTAACTGAGCACAAAGCACTGGGGTTGGTCATTGATGCAAATCTAACCTTCAACTCTCATGTACAAGCACTTGTGAAGCAAACAGCTAAAAAGGTTTACCAGTTTGCAAAAATTAAAAACTTTCTTGATGAAAACACAAGAAAGATGTTCTATCTTTCTCACATCCATACATATAAAGACTATCATTCTACATTATGGGAGGGCTATTCTAGTTCTGCTTCTCCTTTCTCAATAAGCCTTTATACTGGCAGTGGTAAAGACTTTACTTTTTTGAGTTTGAAGTTAATTTTCAAGTTGTTAGATCTTGTTGAAATTAATGATTCCTGTTCAGGTTTGTGTTTCTTGTTTTAAGTTGTTTTCTTGCTGAATCACATTTGTTTTATTTGTTTGCTAAATTTGTTGAGGTATCTTGTTCAAGTTTACATTTACAGTACACTATGAGGTTTATTGTTCAAGTTTACATTTACAGTACACTATGAGGTTTATTGTTCAAGTTTACATTTACAGTACACTATGAGGTTTATTGTTCAAGTTTACATTTACAGTACACTGTGAGGTTTATTGTTCAAGTTTACATTTACAGTACACTATGAGGTTTATTGTTCAAGTTTACATTTACAGTACACTATGAGGTTTATTGTTCAAGTTTACATTTACAGTACACTATGAGGTTTATTGTTCAAGTTTACATTTACAGTACACTATGAGGTTTATTGTTCAAGTTTACATTTACAGTACACTATGAGGTTTATTGTTCAAGTTTACATTTACAGAACACTATGAGGTTTATTGTTCAAGTTTATATTTACAGTATCTGTTCAGGTTAATCATGTTAGATCCAATTTTTAGAACATGTTTAAGTTTTTAGTTTGTGTTCTGTTTCTAGTTTAAAGTTTATGATTTTAGCTCAGCGTTGAGGTTATGATACTTTTTAAGCTTGTCTAGCAGTCTGAACGAAGGGAGGTGTAAAAGACACAATACATCTGAACATTTTGACAATGATCACAATTTTTGTTATATTTGTCTCTTTCCTTTCCCTTTTGTTTTTGTTTTTTGGAGCCTCCTGCTAGTCAGATGTGTTAATTTAGTTCAAGTTTCAGCTGAACTTGTAGATCAGTCATGTATATAAGTCACTCAGTCAGGTGCCATCTCCACAATGATGGCTGGCTGAAATGGTGTCCACCATGCTACATCATTCACCCTGGATGTAAGTCTCTCACACTGCTGTTTATCCACCTCTTGATGGTATCTTTCCACTTGTACCACTGTCTGCTTCTTGCTTACTTGCCTTAAGTGTTTCCTTTTAATTCTGGTTTATGCTTGTAGCACTTGTTCAAGACTACTTCTGTTCAAATTTGTTTTTTGTTCATGCTTATATCACCTGTTCACATATATAATCTGGTTTATTTGTATTCTGTTTTAACTACGATGTTGTTTCTCACATGTAGAGTGACTCCAGTTCTGGGCTATCAGCCGCAGGAGCTGCTGGGGAAAATTGCCTTTGAGTTCTACCATTCTGAAGATCAGACTCACATGAAGGAAACATTTGAACAAGGTGGCCATTTTTTTTTTCTTGTAACACTGCCTAGTTGGTAGACAGTTTTAGCAGTGTAAAAGTAATATTTATACACCCTGTCTTGATTTATAGTCAGTTTTAGAAGTGTAAAAAATGTATCCATTTTGCAGTTAAAACAATTTGATATAAGTTTGTCTATTTAGCAAGTGGTAAAATCATTCTGTTGTAAAGATTTTTCCAGTTTGTTTTTGTGTGGTAATGGCCCGGTATCCATTGAGTCATTCAATTATCAAGACTTTGGACCCAATGTGCAAGTACAGAAACATATCCTATAACCAGCAGGCTTACATTGTTTTGTATGGCAGTTACTGAGAGTTTTGAAAAAAGGTAGAGGGCTTTTCCCCCACATCTTTAGGCGTATTGGGCATTTAGGTCTACACACATATTTTATAGACCAGTCGGCACTTGGTGGGTCTTGTGGTTAACATCATGTCATCCGCCTTTACTTTCCAGGACTTTACCTGATACCTATTTGAGGCTGGGTCAACCTGGTAGCCCAGTCATTTAAAAAAAAATCTTGCCCGGTTCTGTCAGGACCTGAACTTATGACCTTCTGATGCGTAGTTTTTGTCCCAGTCTAGCGATGTGACAGATCTGTGGATTCCATTTCTTCATATTAGTCACAGTGATTTGTCAGGGACAAATCCAAGCATCCAGATTAAAGTTGACCAAACTACTCCTTATCTGCTATTTGAATACCAAAAAAAAAGGGCCATTATAACATAAGGAACCACGGACTCTGCATGCAGACAGTCGACTGAGTCATTGTGAAACTCCACAATGCGAGGTAGTTGTTACCTTATCTTTGTCCCAGGGTATGCTGGTGTTGTTTGCAGTAAAAGAACTGGTAGATTGGTCTGTTCTGCCTTAGCTGCAGATGGCTGGCCCATGAATCACGCTGACATTGTTAATTCCCTTAGAAAGATAGGACGATCGGATGATTTTGCGAGCAGCATTTCTACATTACGGCTTAGAGTGCTTGAATTAGGAGTAAATATCAGCACAGCCAAGCATGAAGGGCACCCTGGACATACAAGAAGTCTGTCAGCCAGCATAGGACTAACACTATTAACAACAGGATATTGATGTATATGTTGAAATGGGGAATCTCCGTGTCCGGAGAGCTGTGAAGATAACCCAGCTCATAACCCGGTAAAACAGTGGCTAACATGCTTTCCTGCTGGCCCAGTGAACATATTTTTCAACTGCCATGGAAATGAGTTTTCAAAAATTGGTTCCAGCTTCCTGGTTGAACCTGTCTACAATGTGTGCCAGAAAATGTTCTGGGAAATTAAGGGGGCTATCCTGGTATTTATCACATGACTCACCGAGTGCTGATTGGTTGATACAAATTTGCATTATCACTTCTCCTTCTCATCTTCGTATCACCAGCTGTAAATTCCAACGGAAAGTCCTGGTTGTTCATCTACTTATGAACTTCTGGTCTTGTTCCAGAACTTCTGTGTTGCTCATTCATTAGATCTGGCCTAATTGTATGCTGACAGTTGTCCCCCCCCTCCCCCGTTGTGGCCCTGGAGCTCAGACAGGGAGAACTAGCACCATCTGCCTAATATCCTTAAGGTACAGGTGCAGACATTTATTTGCCTGTTTATCAAAGTTTAAGGTGGCTTGATGTCTAAATGCCTTGATGACTTTACATAGTAAAAGTTCAGAAATAACAAAGCAATAGTAAAAACACACACACTTTTTCTCCTCATTACAGTGCTAAAACTTAAGGGTCAGGTGATGTCAATCATGTATCGATTCCGTGCATCCAATCGGGAGTGGGTGTGGCTTCGTACCAGCAGTTTCAGCTTCCAAAATCCGTACACAGACGAGGTTGAATACATTGTCTGTACAAATACCTTGGTCAAGTGAGTTCTCATTTATTGTTTTTTGTCTTGTTTATATTTTACTGGTTCAGTTTTTTTAAGTCACTGTCTGTTTCTATGGCGTTGAATTATTTAGAAACCAGTTCAAGGTAAGAGGAACCATTATTATATACATGTAGTATACAAAAATCTGGCAACTGTCAGGAAACTGAAAAAAGCAGTTCTTCCTGAAATTATGTGGCTTTAAAGTTTATTGAAAAGGTTTGGTTCCCATTGTGGGCAGTTTAGGCAAAGACTTCTCTTGCCTTTTAGGCTGTGGTATGAGAGTCACACCATGGAAAAGACTGGGCCTTACCATGGTAATCTTTACATAGTTAGCAGTAGATCTTGGTCAGATATGACTATTCTACTGTATAACAGTAGGAGAGGCGGAAGAGAACTCTAGGGAGGATACTAGCCTTATCCCAGGAAGGATAGGCAACCTGAAACCTAATATTATGTAATGGCAAGCCAGGGCCTTAGCCTTGGCTGGCAGTTGATCTAGAGGGTGGGGGGGGGGGGGGGAGCTTTAGCTTGGCTTGCTTTGGGAAAAAATCATCACGTTTAACCAACATACCTAAAAGGGTAGCTTTAGGTTATAATTGTGACTTGGGTTATGTGCGCCATATAAAATGGCTTAGCATTACTTGCCACCCAAGTAGCTGTGAAAAGAACTCTTGCAGTGTTGGTGCAGTCAAAGCTTCTGTAGCATGCTTCATTCCATATGCATTCGTGTTATCTTTTCTTTGGAGTTGAGTTGAGTCAAGAATTGACATCACAGAACTTGGGGCATTACCATGCAAGCTCCGTCCTCATCTTCAGCAACCAGCGGAGAGTTTAAATACTGATGGCACAGGTCACAATCTGGTTATATGTCCCTCTTGCCTTACCTCTGAGTGTATTGAGCCGGCCAGACCCTCTGGTTACATTTTCATTTTCTTTGAAGTAAAAAAGACATGCGGAGAGAAGGGATCATGAAGTGCATTAGCAACACATGGTCTCTACAATACTGCCCAGACTTGGTGCTGTGGACAGGAATAGTCACACTGGCCATGGTCTTTGATTCTTCTGCCTCTCCTTAGACCCTCATTAAAACACTGTTGCCTGGAAAGGTGGAGAGGGCACACTTTGTATTTTATTTATCAAGAAATTAATGACAACTGTAACATGATCAGAGAAATGAGACCATGTCAAGATTGGAGGGCGTGTTGAAATATATCATATATATATATATATATCAGCTCAAAATGTTGGTGGTGACCGGCTGCTTTGATGGCAAAAGAGCTAAGGGTAGAAAGAAAGACAGGTACAGTGTTCATTTAATAGCTTTAGACCTGATCTGAGACTCTGGTTATCATGTGAGATGGTGAATCATCACCACCCATGCCTAATAGCCTGGCACATCATAATGGTGATTTCGGGCGAATTGTCAGTGACCTAAATCTTGCTGTCACTGTCTAGGAAATGCTTGCCACTGGTATCATTTTCTGCTGTTAACTTGATGAATCTTTTCATGTCGGTGACACCTCAGGCAGATGATGCTTGAGCCGTTTTTTTTAATACACTAATTGGCACTCAGTTGATGATGTGGTCAATATCAGACTGGCTGCGTTTACTTCCCATGACAGATTTTACCCATTTTAGGCTGCGTCAACCTGGAAGTAGGGTTTTGAAACAAAAATTTAGTGTAAGTATGGATTAGGCTCTATTATTTATTTTCTGGCTGGCAGGCGAGCGTCTAGCTAATACACTGACGCAGCTCGCACCATTGCTAGCATTAGTTTATAATCATCATCATCGTGTAGCAGGTCCTTTGCAGAACATCGCTCTCATCACAGTCTGCCTGAAAGAAACTTGGTCTCTCGCTAGCTCTCCCGCCCGCCTCATGTACTTTCATACTCAAGGAGTCACTTATATCCTGTGCCCATCTTTTTGTCGGTCGGCCCCTGTCCTGCCTCCGTGGTACCATGCCTTCTATTATGATTCTTTCCACTCGGTTGTGCCGCATGATATGACCAAAATATTTCAGCTTCCGAGACAGGATGCTGTTTATTAGCCAATCTTCCTTGATGTTCAGATTAGTTTATAATACTTACAGTAAATACTGTTTATTTACTGGTTTAGATAGTTAATCTTTATAGTTAAGGAAACACAAAGAAATTATAACATGCATTGGCAAGGCATCAGCAGCTTCTAAAAGCTTCCACAAAATTTGGAACTTAAAATTATACAGTTTTAGAAGCAAGTTACATCTTTTCAATTACGGTATTGTTTCAGTTTCAATATATGCCTTTGACACAAATTCCTATGAAACAAAAAATGATGAACATAAAATGGGATGAATTCAAGAGCAGTGAAGAAATAAGAGAAATATCTGGGCACAACTAGTATCAACAGTTATAAGTTAGAGAAGGTGGAGCTTCATTTGACACATTGTGAGAAGACACAAACAGAGAATCAACAAACATGCACTGAAATAGGAAATAGAAGGATTGAGGAAATAAGGACGTCCATAGAAAACCCTAAGACAAATGTTGATGAGACTAGCTAAAGTTGCTAGCCTGGACTCCGTCCTTGATATCAAAGGGATTGTATAGGATAGAGCAAAATGGCGAAATAGACTGCAAGCCCTCTTTGACATAATATTTCATAAGAGGCAATGAATGACTGAATGAATGTTGAATTAAGAATCGACATCACAGCACTCGGGACACTCCCGTCAGCGCTCCGTTCTCATCTTCAGCAGCAAGCGAAGAGTTCTAATTCTGATGGCACCAGTAACTTTCAGATTGTATATCCATCTGGCTTTTTCCCTTAGCATTGAGCGCTGGCCAGATCCCCTTGTAACTCCTCGCAGCATATTCTTTCCAGACCATAATGATAAGGTAATGAATGAATGAATAAGCTTTTTTGTTTTTAAAATTTTTTTTTTAAATTTGAGGTTTTACATTACTGTGAGATTTAAGTTGACCTGTAAATAACGGCTTGATAAATGGACTTCTTCTGGTAGTCGAGATTTGAACTTTTCACCCATTTCAGAAGCTCTCAACAAGGTCAGATGGCAGCCATTCATAACCCTGCAGATCAAGCAGCAGACGCCGCCATGTCAAACATTCCATCCTACTCGACCGCAACCAGATCCATGCATGCGGACACATTAGGCCTGGGTATGCTTGAGATGGTTTTGATACTCAGTTATTAATTGCCAGTGTTAAATTGCTGTCTAGAACTTGTGTTGATATATCCATGTGGGGCATAGATAGTAAGCAGGCAAGTTGAAAAATACCTACTCCCAGCAGAGATACGGTTCTTGTATTTAGAAGAATGCAAAGAATAAAATAGGATAGAAAACAAACAAGGTGGTTCCCCTCTTTGACAGAGATTACAACATCAAACTAATTTAAATTAGATGCAGACAGTTGTTGTTTTTGGGACGTTTTGAGAAGGAAGGGACTCGAGAACTTGGTGACAGCTGGGAAGATTGATAGAGAAAGAGCAAGGGGAAGACAGAGAGATATATATGCCTGTATAGCTTGGCCATATGGATGAGGCCTTACTGCTTATTGGCAGGGCACACGATGTTGATAAAGACAAATATCTTGAAAATCATGGTGTACATCATTTCTTTTGAAAAAGTCAAGCAAAGCACACCTCAAGGCATATTGAACATATACAGCTAGACCTATATTTTGTAAATCAATCGGCATTTGGTATGTGATATGGTCAACATCCTGCTGGCCGTATTTACTTCCCACAACTTTTCCTGGTATCTGTTTAAGGTTGTATAGACCTGGGAAGCAACACTATTTGAAAAAAGTCTTGTTCTATCAGGATCTGAACCAACGACCTTCAGGTCTGCAAGGAAGCATCTATCTGCTACACCATGATGGCTGCTTCTTTTGATAAAGGTTAAGGTTAAAGTCAAAAGGTTTGACTTCATTGCATTAGGTTTTATCCCATTTGACTTGATCTGTCTCTCCGCAGGATGGCTAGTCGCCTGCTGAGAGCGCTGCACAAACACAGTAACTCCGTCAACGATCCCGATGCTTCTAGTTCATAACAATTGTGAACCGATTGACAAAGCATTAAAATAAACCCACGACCTTCAAAGCGCAAGGCAAAGGGCTTGACTACATTGATATGGAGACCCGCTAAATGATAATACTTGTGTAAAAGCACGATCACCTTATCGATCCTGTACTGTTTGCAATATATTTGCCATCTGATCTTGATATATGTGCAGTATTAATATTGTGATCACTTCTGTCACATTCCACATTGTTACTGTAGTGAAGTGAACAAAATGGAGGGGAGGGAGGAAGGAAGGAAAAAAAAAGAAAGAAGAATCAGAATTAACATCCAAAGTTATCTATCTATTCCCTTCCTTTTTTTATGGCAGTACTGAAATGTTATATCGTGCCTGTTTTTTGTATGGCAGTGAATCTTGGAATGTGAGCAGATAAATTAAAAAGAATTTGGAGGCAACTGAAATGTTGTTCTTGAGAAGAATGTTGAGAATACCGTGGACTGCCAAAATAACCAACACTGAATGTCTGGAAATGGCTAATGAAAAAAGAACATTATATACAACAATGAGAAGGAGTCAAACAAAGTTCTTTGGTCATGTGATGAGATAAGGAGCACTGGTGAATATTGTGACAACTAGAAAGATCACTGGTAGAAGAGGCAGAGGCAGACCAAGAGGAAGGATGGCCGATCGCTTAAGACCGTGGCATGGAGGAATATCAGTGGAATTTATCCAGAACACCAAAGACCCAGATCTGTGGAGATGCATGAATGCCTACGCTAGCTGGCAAGGCACTTGATGATGAAGCAGTACTGGTACCTTTTTTAGGCATTCAATCTTTCAACCGCTACTGTAATAAACACTTTTTAGTGAATTCAGCCACCTTTCCTAATTTTAGGAAAACAGCCTTGCTTGCGTTCTATAAGAAACATTCAGTAGACACACTTTGAAGCCTGTGGAGTTGATCATCATTAACACTTGTATTCATATTTTGTCCTGACAACAACATCAAAGGAGGAACTGCAAGTGCCAGCAAGTCATTAGAATATAGCCCAGACATGTACCACATGGGGCAGCGGTCAGCCATGCAGCAGGACATCTACTCTGGGTACCAGACATCTGGAGGCATGAAGTACCCCATTCACCCAGCCGGGACACCCTCACAGGCCATGACTGATATGGGAATGAGGAGGAGTCCCGCCCAGAGCGCTGGCGGAAGCTGGTCCCACCAGGGTGCCTATGGCAGGACTGATGTGAGTATGCGTCTTAGATCTTATTTTCTGTGTAGGCTATCTTTCTTTAATAAGGCAGCCCTTTCATGCATTGGGCATGTGGTGCTCTAGCTTAAGGAGCTGTAATTTTGCTGTTGCTTTTGGTCCTAAGTGAATGGAGATGTGTCGACGGTCTAGACTCCTTTTGGCTTTCTTCACTTAGAGTCCTAATTTTTCTGCCTCCCCCTGGGTTGGCTGGTTATTACTGGGTTTTTAAAAAAAAAAAACTTTTCCATGGTTTGTTTTTGTGGCATTGTTTTTGTTTTTAAAACTTTTCCATGATTTGTTTTTGTGGCATTATTTTTGTTTTTAAAACTTTTCCATGGTTTGTTTTTGTGGCATTGTTTTTGTTTTTAAAACTTTTCCATGATTTGTTTTTGTGGCATTGTTTTTGTTTTTAAAACTTTTCCATGGTTTGTTTTTGTGGCATTGTTTTTGTTTTTAAAACTTTTCCATGATTTGTTTTTGTGGCATTGTTTTTGTTTTTAAAACTTTTCCATGGTTTGTTTTTGTGGCATTGTTTTTGTTTTTAAAACTTTTCCATGGTTTGTTTTTGTGGCATTGTTTTTGTTTTTAAAACTTTTCCATGGTTTGTTTTTGTGGCATTGTTTTTGTTTTTAAAACTTTTCCATGTTTTGTTTTTGTGGCATTGTTTTTTTTAAAAAACTTTTCCATGATTTGTTTTTGTGGCATTGTTTTTGTTTTTAAAACTTTTCCATGGTTTGTTTTTGTGGCATTGTTTTTGTTTTTAAAACTTGTCCATGTTTTGTTTTTGTGGCATTGTTTTTTTTTAAAAAACTTTTCCATGGTTTGTTTGTTTTTGTGGCAATTATTTTTTTTAAACAGGATGAGCTAGTCAACCCAAGTCTAACCCTACCCTTAGTCTCCTCTTAAGACACATACTTTAAAAAGTAAACAAAAGAGCATTGTGTGACTTGTTTGTAAACTAGTGGTCATGAATTCCTGGGTACTGAAGTTGCCCGAGCAATAATGGTGCCTGATTCTGATAATTTTTTGGGGCATTGTCTGGCCAGGAAAGGTTACAAGGGAGGGATATAGCCACTCCACTTGTGACAAGGCCCAGGATTTATGGACCATTCTTGCCAGTTCTGGACATTGGTATAAGAGTCCTGCCACAAACAAGTTGGGTCTCCACCACGTATTATGCTCAAAGACAGCAGGGGAAGCACTGCAGCCTGCCTTCATTGTGGAGACAGTACTTTAACCCGCTCACCCTGTGAATGCTAAAAATGCTGGGCCATGTACCTATAGAAATGTCCGAAAAAATTCTTTAACAAATTCTTTAATAAATAAAAAAAAAACATTGCACACATTTTTTAAAATTTATAAAGGTATTCAAGGGAGTAATCAGTAAACATGAACAGAGTGGAGTATTCAATGGAATACATTCCCCTAGGTGTGTAAAAAAAATATATATATATATATATATCAGGTGACTCTTGCTGTGACTCTCTGACCTCTATCACTGAGACTTATGGGGAAATTTAACATCAGTTTACCTTTCAAAAAAGCCACTTGGGTCATAACAAAACCTCCCTAAATTCTGTATACAGATGCCACTATTTTTTTTTATATCTTAGTGAAGATGGTTTTAGTCATTCCTTTTTTCTTTTTGATTTCTGTTTCACTTCTATCATCATCTGTTAATGTGTTTCCAAGATAGGAGAAACTTATTACTTGTTCTCATATCTACCGTTAAATATATTGTTCACTGTTTGCATGTCAATTCAGGGGTATCAACATTGTTTATGTTAATTTAGATGTTGACCAGGGTGTGGACCCTTCCTGAATAAATATTGTGGGTCAGTGTTGATTTAGGACCAGAGGTGTCAGCAGGGCTTGAGTCAGTATTTTATGTATGTATTGACTTGGGACCAGAGTTGACCAGTGGACCCACGAGGTGTCAACCGACTTGTGTAAAGAGTCATAGCTAGTTCGTGCCGAGCAAGGCTGGTATGAGTGGAAAACATGCATAAGTGTGGAAACCTCAGTTATCACAGGGGGACTCACAGAGAACGCACTCATGTGTATAGAGCAGAGCAGTCTGGAGTTGAGGACAGAGCAGTCCAGAGTTGAGGACAGAGCAGTCTGGAGTTGAGGACAGAGTCATTGAGCAGAGCAGTCTGGAGTTTAGGACAGAGCAGTCTGGAGTTGAAGACAGAGCAGTCTGGAGTTGAGGACAGAGCAGTCTGGAGTTGAGGACAGAGCAGTCTGGAGTTGAGGACAGAGCAGTCTGGAGTTGAGTACAGAGCAGTCTGGAGTTGAGGACAGAGCAGTCTGGAGTTGAGGACAGAGCAGTCTGGAGTTGAGGACAGAGAAGTCTGGAGTTGAGGACAGAGAAGTCTGGAGTTGAGGACAGAGCAGTCTGGAGTTGAGGACAGAGCAGTCTGGAGTTGAGGACAGAGCAGTCTGGAGTTGAGGACAGAGAAGTCTGGAGTTGAGGACAGAGCAGTCTGGAGTTGAGGACAGAGCAGTCTGGAGTTGAGGACAGAGAAGTCTGGAGTTGAGGACAGAGCAGTCTGGAGTTGAGGACAGAGAAGTCTGGAGTTGAGGACAGAGCAGTCTGGAGTTGAGGACAGAGCAGTCTGGAGTTGAGGACAGAGCAGTCTGGAGTTGAGGACAGAGCAGTCTGGAGTTGAGGACAGAGCAGTCTGGAGTTGAGGACAGAGCAGTCTGGAGTTGAGGACAGAGCAGTCTGGAGTTGAGGACAGAGCAGTCTGGAGTTGAGGACAGAGCAGTCTGGAGTTGAGGACAGAGCAGTCTGGAGTTGAGGACAGAGCAGTCTGGAGTTGAGGACAGAGAAGTCTGGAGTTGAGGACAGAGAAGTCTGGAGTTGAGGACAGAGCAGTCTGGAGTTGAGGACAGAGCAGTCTGGAGTTGAGGACAGAGCAGTCTGGAGTTGAGGACAGAGCAGTCTGGAGTTGAGGACAGAGCAGTCTGGAGTTGAGGACAGAGCAGTCTGGAGTTGAGGACAGAGCAGTCTGGAGTTGAGGACAGAGCAGTCTGGAGTTGAGGACAGAGAAGTCTGGAGTTGAGGACAGAGAAGTCTGGAGTTGAGGACAGAGCAGTCTGGAGTTGAGGACAGAGCAGTCTGGAGTTGAGGACAGAGCAGTCTGGAGTTGAGGACAGAGAAGTCTGGAGTTGAGGACAGAGCAGTCTGGAGTTGAGGGCAGAGCAGTCTGGAGTTGAGGACAGAGCAGTCTGGTGTTGAGGACAGAGTCATTGAGCAGAGCAGAGCTGTGGGTTCTTCTGTGAGATTACTGACCTTGGTTGACAACGCATGTTGCGGTCATGGTCACTACAGAAACAAGGCAGTGATGTACGAGGATGAATTGCTGTGTGCATATTGGGAGTCTAAGGATTGTGGGTTTTCACTTAGCCAATGTAAAAGTGCCTGTAAGAGATATCAATGGAGGTCAGATGTGTAAGGTAGATGGAGCCTGTTCATTCTCACTGCTAGCCCTGACGTGAGGGTTCACCAGCGACTAGGGCACTGAAACAGTGAGCTCAAGAATTGATCAACTGCAAGTTGTAAGCCATTTTATGGGAAGTATGAAGTGTAATGAAGCTAATTCCATGTTAGCCAACAGAAGGGCATGTGTCACGTTGCTTCATACCGTTTATTGTTTGCGGGTTGGTGGACCCGAAGGTTCATGTGAATAAGTGTATGTCAACCGTTGTTGAGTTTTCCTGACAGTATGCTCATGCATTGTGTAAAGCAGTTTTGTGCGAGTGGATACAGAGTTCGAGCGCAAGTCGAATTCCAGACACTTGGTTATATGTCAGTGTGCTACCACCGCAAATTAGCACATGACATTCACATTTGGCCGCTCTTTTCTATTTTTAATTACCGTCGTAAAAATTTTTTTTTTAATCAGTCTAATTTATATGCTGCACTCTGCCTGTTGACTTGATTTACTAGGTCGTGTAACTCCTGCTCACTGTGTCTTCAACATATCTCATATTGTTTATTATTCTTCTTTTGATATTCAGTCTAGACAGGGTTAAAGAAACAATAAGTATGTGAAGGTTAAACACCTTGCTCTGCAACAACAATAAATATCGTGACATAACCTTTGCTGTTAATTTAATTGAAGTGATTCCTTATATATGACATTTTATTCATGTGATATATTCTCATAATGAATTAGCTTTATAGTTTCCCAGCCCACAAATAAGTTAATATATTCGTTGGTTCTCTTAATTTGCTTCACCAAAATAGCATGATTGATAGAAAGAGATAGAATAATGCAACAGATTAAACTTTCCTTTGTTTCAGACTAGTGCAGATTATGCCGCGTCTGCTCACTACAATACTGTCAGCCCAGTCAGTAACAACGCAGGTAACCTATTGTCTGCATTGTAAGCTAGTTCATGTGATTTGAGGATATATCTGCATTGTAAGCTATTTCATGTGATTTGAGGATATCTCTGCATTGTAAGCTATTTCATGTGATTTGAGGATATCTCTGCATTGTAAGCTATTTCATGTGATTTGAGGATATCTCTGCATTGTAAGCTATTTCATGTGATTTGAGGATATCTCTGCATTGTAAGCTATTTCATGTGATTTGAGGATATCTCTGCATTGTAAGCTATTTCATGTGATTTGAGGATATCTCTGCATTGTAAGCTATTTCATGTGATTTGAGGATATCTCTGTATTGTAAGCTATTTCATGTGATTTGAGGATATCTCTGTATTGTAAGCTATTTCATCTGATTTGAGGATATCTCTGTATTGTAAGCTATTTCATGTGATTTGAGGATGTCTCTGTGAATACATTGACATACTCAATTGTAGCAGTGTTATGTAAGATGCTGCAGGTAAAATAAGTATGTGAGTGAATGACACATTTCTCTCTTTGAGGTGTATTGAGCAAGAAACACTTGATGGCTGGTGTGCTTAGAATCACGCCACCCGTTCTCTTCCTAGAAAATGTATGGGTATCCATTTAAATGGGGAGCTGCGGGTGGTGTAGTGGTTAGGCGCTCTGCTTGCTGACATGTAAGTCATGGGTTCTGATTCGCGTAGCATCAGATTGTTTGTTTTTAAAGAATATCTGTGGCACTCAAATGGGTCCAGCCTGAAAAATAGGTACCATGTAAAGTCCTGGGAAGTAAAGGCAGCCAGCATGATTTTGACCATATCAGCCACCGAATGCCTATTGGCCAGTAGAATATAAGTCCAGTATCACATCCTTGATATACCTGGCTTGAAAAGGTAGTTTACTTTACTTGCTTATTAGACAACTAAGTTGACAAAGAGCTCAAGTTGATTGAAGAAAATTGTTCTTGATTGGGATTAGAATCTATGGCCGTCAAGCTGCTGGATATCCTTTCTTTTTTCCCAAAACTAACTGCATCTGTAAGTACTTGAGGGCATATCATTGAGTGACCAGACGCTCAGTTCTTGTTTATTACAGGTGTTGGATTTGTTACCTCTTGAACCATCTCACAGATAAAATGGAATGGAGCAATAGACTGGGAGTCCCATGTGATGTGTTATGGCACAACAGGACAACAATGATGATGAACCATCTCACAGATAAAATGGAATGGAGCAATAGACTGGGAGTCCCTTGTGATGTGTAATGGCACAACACGACAATGATGATGATGAACCATCTCACAGATAAAATGGAATGGAGCAATAGACTGGGAGTCCCTTGTGATGTGTAATGGCACAACAGGACAGTGATGATGATGAACCATCTCACAGATAAAACAGAATGGGGCAACAGACTGGGAGTCCCTTGCTACATGTAATGGCACAACAGGACAGTGATGATGATGAACCATCTCACAGATAACATGGAATGGAGCAATAGACTGGGAGTCCCTTGTGATGTGTAATGGCACAACAGGACAGTGATGATGATGAACCATCTGACAGACTTTTGTATCGAAAATTGAGGACATATGTCTGTAGAAATGTTCCATCGGTGAAATTTAGCTGTAAAATGTATTTTATTCTGAGAATTGTTTTTTAAATATTATATTCTGTATCCTTTATGATTTACACCATCTGTGATACATATCCATGTTTTACATCCAGGCACAATGTGGTCTCAGCAGTGGGGGGCAGCGGATGCTTCATCACAACAGCAACATCCCCAGCAGCATCCCCAGCAGCAAGAGGAATTCAGCGATATGTTTGGTATGCTGGGTCAACCGACTGCAGAATTCACTGACCTTTCCGGAATGTTTACTAATTTCACAGAATAAGCATGAACTGCAAGAGGTTCACATGGATATTCAGCTTGCCAGAACAGAAACAATGATAGAAATTCAAAGCAGGTTTTCTGCTGTGGTTTCAAATAAGGAAGATACGTTCAGTAGAATGACCAGTTTATTGCCTAGCATGTTTATGTTTCACGGAGAGCATACTACAGAATTAGATCTGAGTGAATGACCAGTTTCTCTTTTTGAGGTGTACTGAGCAAGAAACACTTGATGACTTGTATGCTAAGTATTGTGCCACCCCTTCACTTCCTAGAAAATATGAGGGTGTCCATTTAAACGAGGAGCTGTAGTGGTGTAGCGGTTAGCTGCTCTGCTTGCCGACATGTAAGTCATGGGTTCTGTTTCACACCATTATATTTGCAAAACTTGTGACATGATTTTAGTCAGTCTGTTCAGGAGAGAATATATTACATTAACTCTTTGAGTCCCAGAGGGTTTAGCATCACAGGCCCAAGGGGTAGTCAAAAGAGACTAGAATCTGTGCATCATGCGTTCAGTGGGTTTCTAGCCAGTAACCTATGAACGTATGATGCATTTCTTGGGACTCAAAGAGTTAAGAGGACTGACTCAAAAACAAGTTTCTGCAAACATTCTTTGCCTGTGTTCCAGTGGCTGCTTATAGAACCAAGCGTATTCGAACCCCATTTGTTCAGTAATTGAGATAAAGACCAGCATTAGAGTACTCAGGTCATTTTCTGAAGTGTGCTGTCCTCACCTTCAGCAGCCAGTGCAGAGTTCCAGTTTCAGTGATGCCCAGTATGGTCTGATTATGTATCCACCTGCCTTTCCTCGGAATGTTCAGTATCCACTGATCCACTTCGGCAGTGCTCTCTGTCTACTGCAACAATCCGGGCCTATTGTGATGATTACCTTGCTCACACAGACTTTCCCACCTTGGTTAAGGGACTCATCTCTCTACATTAAGTCTTATTGTATAATGTATTTTCAGTCCAGCTGGCAGAATATTCGGGCAGCTGAGAGGTGGGTAGTGGAGCACCTGCCTAGTTAAGAAAACACACAAGTGAAGAAGTAAACTGGAAATGTTAGAAAACACATGAATGAAAAATAGCCATATTTTTCGTAATGAGCCACCTTATTTTCCTTGAGTACCTTCCTGTTGTTGCTGTTTTTTTTTTTTTAAATTTCCTGTCCTGTATATTTCAGTTCCTATGTGACTGCCTTATACATTGTTGTGGTTAAGGATTTCTTCTGCTTTTAGTCATTGATAAAGACCTTGGTTGTGCGCTTCTTTTCCATTCCCTGTGTTGAACTTCGTTGTGTTTTTTGTTGTGTTAATTTCTGGATGTACTCTAAAGTTCATAGAAGCAGTAGTGAAACACATGGGTAACTCTTCACTGTGTAAACAGAAAAATATTTTCTGGTGAGTTTGAAATTTCTATGGTGAAACTAGACTGAATCAATGTAATTCAGCCAAAAAGGATTCACTTTTTTTGCTTCATTCTGTGTTGAAGCAATTCTGTAGCATCTGCATCTCACAAGATACAGTAAAATGCCAGGCAATAAATTTTGTGATCTTTTGTTTGTTATTCGTGATTTAGAACCATTTATACCTAGACCAGCAGTGACAGTTAAGGGTATTCTTGAAGTTGATGCACACGTGTAAACTTGGAGGAATGCTGGTAAGGACAAGAAACCTGTTTGACATCATCATCATCATTGTGTGCCATGCTTATCAGTACATACATCAGCCTTATTCCACACACATACATCCTGTGTTGTCCATATGTTTGACAGTCTTCCATACTACTCTGTCAGTCCCTGCAGACTTTTCTGTCTCTAACACCTTTGATCTGCCTGGTTGTCAAAGCTTCTACAAGTCCCTAAATAATTATGTGATGGGTTAATGGGACAGAAAAATGAGATGGGGGAGAAGTTAACTCTTTTGGTACCAGAAGATTTGGCAGCAAGTCCCCATGTGGGACAACAATTATTAATGCTAGACAGAGATAAACGCTGCAGAGTGACCACTTGGGTAGCTAGATATGGAGTATGGTGTGACCAAATATGAAATAAAAACACATTATTTGTTAGTTATGACCCACAAGGTTATTCCATCAGACATTATACATTGTTTGGGACTGAAAGAGTTTGAAAATGGTTATCTTGTTTTTAGTAAATGTTCATGTGTGGTGTGAAAATTGCACGCAGATTACATGTAACAGAGAAGACAATTTGCCTCAAAGTCCACAGCTGTCCTGTAAAGACAATTATACTTTATGCTTACATACCTGGTTTGAGACATCCATGCACATTCTGCTTATGGTTATATTCTTGATATTAAAACTCGATCAGTTTAAAAAAAAAAAAAGGAAAGAAAACTCTCCATGTGGGTCTTGGGGTCCTATTTTGGGAGGGAGAAGATAAACCAGACCCACTGCCCAAGAACAAGTATGGCATAGTAGGCGACAGATTTCTTTAAAGTTCATCTGCCTGAAAGGGATGAAACTGAGTCTGCATACATACAAATAAGCTAGATCTGTAAAATGGACTTCCTGTATGGCTTCAGGGCTTCATTTTGGAGAACAAAAAATAGATTCACTGCTCCCCTCCCCCCCTCCCTCCCTCCCCCCCAACCAACATTCATGTCATAGGTGGCATCTAGTTAGGGGTGTTTCCTTCAAAGTTGGAGTGCATCTGCTTAAGAGGCAAGAAACCAACAAGCTGCATACTAACAGGGCAGATCGGTCGAATAAATGTGCATGCACAGGACTAAAATCCCGATCAAGACCAATATCCAGGAGTGGACAAACAACCAGAACTTTCTACCTGAATTTAAGGACGGCAAACACTAAAAGGAAGAAGGTTTAAAAAAAAAATGAAATCTTGTTGTTTTCAAGTCTTTGACGTTCATAAGAAATGATAAAATACTGATTTCTCATTTCTAAGTGTGCCAGTTTGCATTAGCTGGCTACTTGACTGGTTGACTATAAAAGTGAGGGTGATTAAACTATTAATGAAGTGTTTAAAACAAGAGCTGTTTACGCAGTTGTATATCTGATTCTTGTACAATGGTTCCATTTACTGTGATAGATTAGTTGTTTGACTGGTTGTGAATCATCTGAAAAGAGTTTTAATGGCTGGTTGTGAATTATCTGAAAGTGTTTTAATGGCTGGTTGTGAATTATGTGAAAGAGTTTTAACGCTTCAAGTCTGAGGAGTTGCCAGTCAGGTTGTTTGAGCCTTGAAAAGATGTCATCCCTGATATTGGAACCATTGCACAGGATAGGCTGCAAGTCTTGTGACATATAATATCATAGCACAAGATAGGCTGCAAGTTTTGTGACATATAATATCACAACACCGGATAGGCTGCAAGTCTTGTGACATATAATATCACAACACAGGATAGGCTGCAAGTCTTGTGACATATAATATCATAGCACAGGATAGGCTGCAAGTCTTGTGACATATAATATCACAACACAGTGATGATGATTAGACCCGGTGCAGAGGCAGTAGAGTGTTGCGTCTCTGGTGAGCTGTGACAATCACCGCTGTAGAGAGGGAGTAGAGTGCAGTGTCTCTGGTGAGCTGTGACAATCACCGCTGTAGAGAGGCAGCAGAGTGCAGTGTCTCTGGTGAGCTGTGACAATCACCGCTGTAGAGAGGCAGTAGAGTGCAGTGTCTCTGGCGAGCTGTGACAATCACCGCTGTAGAGAGGCAGCAGAGTGCAGTGTCTCTGGCGAGCTGTGACAATCACCGCTGTAGAGAGGCAGCAGAGTGCAGTGTCTCTGGTGAGCTGTGACAATCATCGCTGTAGAGAGGCAGTAGAGCGCACCGTTTCTGGTGAGCTGTGACAATCACCGCTGTAGAGAGGCAGTGGAGTGCAGCGTTGTGACGAAATGACCTCAGTGGTCTCAGAAGTTATATTGAGTTTAATAATTTCTTATGTTCAGAGAAGGACAAAGAATTAAAAGCAATAGTCACTGAGCCTAAAATAGTTCTAAAACCACTTCAAGGGATTTGAGAATTGTTTAAACTGCGTTTCCAATCTCTAGCCAGACAAAGCAACCTTGCTTTAGGTAATATTACCTTGGCTAGGAATTCCTTTCTCACGCCCATGTCATATAATTATCTTCTGCCTAGTCTGTAGAGGCAAGTAAAGGGGGAGATAACTTCGTACCACACCTGATTAGCTCCCCTTAACCCGACTTTAGTGTCATAAAAAGTTACATAACACAGACTGAGTGGGGCCGTTTGATCAAACTGAAGCAGGGGAATTAAGTGGTCAGGTAGACATTTCTAGACAGGCCGGCGTCCAGCGTCTGAAAGTTTCACACATGATAGTGAAATTCTCCAGAGAGCAGATGTTTGGCAATTAGGAATGTTTAATCTTGGTCAAGGTCGTACTGTAGGCTGTTCACTGTGAGTGACAGGCCCTTGATAGCTAGGTTGATCTAATAGGTACCTCAGAGGAGGGGCTTAGGTCATCTCCTTTAGGGTTGGGTAGAACCGAGAAGAGGGTGGAGTTAACCTTGCAGACAGATAGGGGTATTAATAAGACAAGCCCTGGAATTTCTGTCAGAATCGCTGCCACGAGCAAACAAACAGGTCGACCTTAGAGGTAATTCTAATGGTTTGATTCTAGTTGGCGATAGCTGGAAATTTCCAGGTAAGCCTGTACAATTATTTTCAATCTTGTATACATAGGTTAGGGAGTTAGCTAAAATCTATTCTACCTTTTCCTAATTTGTCTACACATTCTGCTTGAAATAGTCCTTTGTGAGTATTCAGTATCTCAGTTAGGGAACTGCTAAACTATTTCTATTTCTGGTATGTTTGTGGCACATGTTTTTCAGTGTATGTTTTCATGTTTATAAAATAAGACTTGTATACTAAAATGTAATGAAATTATAATGTTTCAACCATCAACCAAAACATGAGTTTGGACTGTGGGAAAAGATGCCCACATATGCAGCCATGCTGTTACATTTTGTGTGCCCACCATGTGCTCACCTAAT